TGTGTTGTTTTTCTAGCTGTTCCACATCCCAAATTCCCCACTTTTTGGTGAGATTCAAGCCTTGCAATGATAGCCTTGACAATGTGGTTATTTTCACCCCCCAGTCTGGTGTCTATTGCATGTAATTCTCACATAACCTGTTAATGAGGATTCCCAATACCAGTCAGGTAATTACTTGCTAATGATTCCCCTTTGGTTGTGGAGTTCCTGACCCAATGCAAAAGAGGTGGTTTCACATCCACCATTAGAAATCATCAAAGTAAAAAGGAATTCAGAGACTTCTTGCCCTGCATTTAATTCTGACTTTCTGAAGTGACCAGAAAGATGGAGGAAAAAGCGTTCATCACCCTTAGGATGACTTCAGTCTCTCTTCACACCGTGGAGACATAAGGGCCAATGATGCCATCTTGGTGCCCCCAGCCCAGCACCGGGGTTGGAAAAATAGGGAGAAGATGGGGCTGCACAACCCTTTCTTCTTTTCTTATTTTTGGCATGGCTCTGCTATGTAAGCAGCTTTGCACTCCACATTAATAAACCACCTCTGATAATTTATCATTCAAAGGTGGCGAGAGGGGCAGCTCCTGATGGAGCGAGCCATTAAATCAAATTGGATTAGGAAATGCCAAGAAACAAAACCTCATCCTTCTGTCACCAGCACCTATGGAAACTCCAATAAACTCCCCCAGACCTATCCATTGGAATTTAGGAACAAACCTAACCAACAGGTACTTTGGTTCTCATTAAGTCTCCCTACACCCAAACACTGAGTGCAAAACCAACACCGTAAACTAGCTAATGAAATAAGATAGAGCCAGTTCAGGAAACCTTGCTCCTATTTGCACCCAAAATCATTGAATTATGGAAGCGTTGAGGTTGGAAAAGACAACAGATCATCTAGTCCAGCCATCAACTCCTCCATAAGGAAGCACTAGTTTGTTTCATAAGCTTTATAGAGAGGACTAAATATATCTGTTTTGTTCACATGGGGATCCCTTCTTTAGCAAAGAGCAAAAGCCAGAATGACCTTTACTTTCAACGGATTCATTAGAAAAAAAAAAAGAAACATTTCTCAGCAGCAATTTGTTTATCACAGGAGGAGTGTGTGTTTGTGAGTCAAGGGTTAATGGTCTCTGTAGTCTGGTTTGAACCAGTTTTGTCTGCTCACTGTGATGTTTGGGATCCAACTGTGTTTGCAGCTGTGGCGTCATTTGGTCTCAGTGTGCCAGAGTCCACACTGGAGATCCGCAGCTGTTGCTGGTGCAGAGACCTACCTGATGATCACTCTTGTTTTACATAATGAATAAGGAAAATGTTTTTTTTTTTTAAAAAAAAAAAGTCCATCCCAGTTGCATCTCAGAGCCTCCCAGGTATTTAGAGGCTTCCCTCCCCTTCCCTTCCCTCTCCTTCCCTTCCTTGTCTAGAGGATTTATGGCCTTTATCAAAGCTTTCTATGTTTTTCCAATAGCCTTTCCTTTTCCCTGCCCTAGTTAGTGAAGGCAGCCAAATGGGCCTTGCTATGAACACTTTGCCTTTTGTTCACTTGTTTGCTATAGAATACTATAGAATCGCAGTGTCATTAAGGTTGGAAAAGACCTCTCAGATCATCTAGTCCAACCACCGGCCCATCCCCACCATTCCCACTAACCCATGTCCCTCAGTGCCACATCTCCATGGTTCTTGAGCACCTCTAGGGGCAATAACTGCCACTGCTTCCCTAAAGTTTAAGCAGAAAATTGACAGCAAATCTGGAAGCTCTACCCAATCTGTCCACCATGCTTTAGACACATAGGAATTCACGTCATGCCAGATCTGTTTGTGAGCTACTGTTGAGAAGTCCTGTCCTCCCCACTCCTGTAATCCTGGCTGCTGCATGTAACTTAGGTTTGGAGGATGCAGGCAGGGATGGGGTGGGAAGTAGAACCCCAGGAATCGTTCCACTCCACATTGGTCAAGGGTGAGATGAAGTGTCTCCAAGTTTAGTCCTTTGCAGATTTCACCCCCTTCATCTCATTCCCAACGAGGGGATGAGACCTTGATCAATAGGCTTCTGTCCAAGGTGGGATGTGACAGCAGTTCCCAACTGGGTAAAAAGGAGTTTTTTGGGGATGAGTTTGGACTGGATGTTAGGAAGAATTTCTTCATGGGAAGTCAGGTCAGGCATTGTAATGGGCTGCCTAGGAAGGTGGTGAAATATCCATCCTTGGAGGTATTTGAGAAATATGCATGTGGTGCATAGGGACTTGGTTTAGTGGTGGTCTTGGTGCTGATGGGTTAATGGGTTAGATGATATTATGGTTCTTTTCCAACATAAATGACTCTATGATTCTATGAGGTGACAGTCTCAGCTGTGGATCACTGGACAAGTGAGAAGAGCCTTGAAGAAAACACAGAAGGAGGAAAGCAAGCGCAGTGAGAAGTGTGAATTTGTAGCAACACCACAGCAGGGCTTTCCTCTAACCCACTCCCCCAGATTGGTTTTCCTTTGTGATCTGGTTTTAAAATCAATGAGACTTTTAAGGTTTTTTTGGCAGGGAAATTTCAAAGTGAGGTTCTTGCTAAGGGATGGTGCAGGAGATGAGCAGATCTGCAGATGTGGAGAGCTGGGATTTGGGGCAGAAGGCTGACACCCTGCAGGGAGCTTGTTCTGACCTTGGCTCCATTACCCACCACTGGATCTCCTTGGGGAGTGGGGTTGACTCAGGATATTCACCATGCAGAAAGGACAAGATAGATATAAAGAGCCCTGGGGAGTGATTCTTCATCCCAAGGAGATCCTGGGAGCTCTCAGGATGCAAAAATATTCTCACAGCACGACACCCATAGAAATGAAGATGTCCTTGAAGAGAATAGGAAAAAAAACAGCCTGAGGGTTGGTTGCTTTCTCCTGGTGGTTTTCCTCCACATCCTCAGTGACTGTCCGAGGAAATGGGCTCAGGGCTTCTGGCATTGCCTCCGGGTGAATGTCCCCAGTGTTGCAGGAGGATAACTCATCTCCCTTTCACGAGGGGATACCTTGGCCTCCTGCCTTTATCAACAGAGCAGCTCGTAGGCAGCCATCCAAAGGCAATTGGATGTGGTTTCAAATACACGCTGTACGCAGATGAACTGTAAATGCCTGTGGCATGTTTCCTTCCCCATTTCAAAGAGCTGGATCGATTGCTCCATGCAGCAATAAAGCATGCCCATACCTGACTAAGCTCTTTGCTGATTATCTGGCAATATACACTTTTTCTTGGACTAGAAGGTGACCAGCACCTTTATTTCTGCTATCTTTTGTCACAGCTATTGGCCAAGTGGCTTGTTAGTCTATGAATGCTTCATGTTGCTCCATAAGGGAGTTTTTAACTGGTAGTAATGGATTGCATCTCACCAGTCTCATACTGGTGTCTTTGGAGCTTCTGGGGTCTGATCCAGTGCCCTCAGAGACAATGAATGTGATGCTAGCAGCAACCAAACTGGGGTTTCAAAGGAGTAGTTAAGAGGCACTGTCCAGATTGAGATATCAAGTGGGAATAACTAATTAATGGGATCAGAGAGAAGAGATGCCAATAGTATCGTAAGAAAAGAGATAAAAAAAGAGATACCACTAAGCTTCTCACTACTGATAGTGGGGTTACACTAAGGCAGATGCTTCTCTGTAGATGAAACATTTAACATTAAGGTTTTTTAGTTCCCAATGATGGATGATTGCAAAATGGAGCAATGGTCTGCATGCACAGACTCAGAGTGGGGGTTGACATTAATGTAATTAAGAGTTACCTGGAAATGTGTCTGCAGGAGTATCCACTGCATCCCAACTGCTCACACATGTTTTCTCTCAAGAAGCACTTAAGATGGGCTCATCTTACTGGTTTTCTGTTGTTTCTACAGAATAATGCACCCCGGAGGATTGCATGTTGGCCTTTAGCAACGCTTTGGTTGCAAGCATTTTGGCCAGAGTCCCAAACCCTTCTCTCTGGTCACAGGAGATATGGGAGTCACTCCCAGACAAGTCATATCAATGATCAGGACAATATTTTGGCCAGGCATTTTCCCCTTTGCACTTCTTTTGCACACTGCAAGGCACATGTAGCCATCACCCAAGACTTCAGCTGGAACAAAGGTGGACAGCCCTCTCTGTGGACCTGCAGGATCATTTACATGCTCCTATTTACTGTCCCCAGAGATGCAGAGCAAAAGCTTTTTTGGCTGGCTTAGGAAGTCCTGCAGCTGCGGAGTTGTGCAGACTTGCTGCCAGAATGTGATCAGAAAAGGGTCAGCAGAAGTGGGAGGTGCAGATCAGCTCTCTTCCTCCTCTGGCTGCAATGACGGAGGGAGATAAATGTCTCAGATGATGGAAGTTCAAAATCAGAGGGGAGGAGAGATCTCGCTTGCCAGCATCATTAATCAGAGAGAATGTTTAATTAGCAAAGACTCCAGAGTCTGTGTGTGTGAAATAAATTGGCTCTCTCCAGTCAGTGCCTTTGAGAGAGGCTGGGCCCACCACAACACATTCTGGGGTAGTGCTGTCCTTTGTTCTCATGGTAGGCGAGGAGCCAAATGGCCATTCTGCCTGCCACCACCCAGAAGAGATTGGCTTGAAGCACATGACGTTAAGCAATGAGTCTGTCTGCTGAAACACGTCTAGATTTGTGTCTGAAGTCAAAGTAAGGGAGACATGAAGTCCAATGGCAATGGGCAGCCTTCTAGCAGTTCACAGAATCATAGAATATTCCAAGTTGGAAGAGACCCGTAAGGATCATCCAGTCCAGCTCCTGGTCATCAAGTCCAGCTCTTGGAAGTTGGAGTCTTGGACATCTTGCAAGATTCCTACTGGGGATTGTAGCATGAGAAATATTGTGTTTAGGACATCCTTGCTATTTACTTATAGTTAGTTAATATTTTAACAGAATGCTTAATCTATCCCTTTGGAAAGACAGGAAGAATGCGTAGCTCAAACTGTTGCACAACTTCAGTAAAATAAGACAATTAAATTGAATTTTTGTCATCTTGTTTTCCAGGTCAACGATGCAGTTCTTAGCCTGGTTCAAATTGCTGCTTCTCCTTCCGTGTTTCAGTGCCACCAAAACCTGCTTCCCTGGCTGCCACTGTGAAGTGGAAAGCTTTGGTCTCTTTGACAGCTTTAGCCTGACCAAGGTGGACTGCAGCGGAATAGGCTCACACATTGTTCCTGTCCCAATCCCTCTGGATACCTCCTACTTGGATCTGTCCTCAAACAAACTGGAAACAATCAATGAATCAATGCTAACTGGCCCTGGATACACCACCCTGGTGAGCCTCGACCTGAGCTACAATAATATCGCCAAGATTTCCTCCACAACTTTCTCCAGGCTTCGCTACCTGGAGTCTTTGGATCTGAGTCATAACTCTCTGGAAGTCCTTCCAGAGGACTGCTTCTCCAGTTCTCCTTTGGGTGACATAGATTTGAGCAATAACAAGCTTTTGGATATAGCGATGGACGTTTTTGCTTCAAAGGGTCAAGGAAAACCCTTGAATGTGGATCTATCCAATAACATGCTCAGCAAAATTACAAGGAACCATGAAAAGAGCGTCCCCAACATCCAGAACTTAAATCTTTCTGGAAACAGACTAACAACTGTGCCAAATCTCCAAGGCATTCCTCTTCGATACTTAAATCTTGATGGCAATCCACTAGCCAAGACTGAGAAAGGAGACTTCAAGGGGCTGAAAGGTTTGATTCATTTATCCCTCAGTGGCCTCCATAACTTTAGAGAGTTATCTCCTTACAGTTTCAAGGAATTACCAGCCCTCCAAGTTCTGGATTTATCCAACAATCCCAACCTGAGGTCATTGACTGCTGAAGTTATCTTTGGCCTGAGCTCTATACAAGAGCTCAACCTCTCTGGGACCGGCGTGTCCTCCTTGCCAAAGACTGTGCTGAAATACCTACCTTCCCTCAAAAGCATCACCCTGAGGAAGAACATTCAGTGTTTTAAGACCATCAAAGAAGGACAGTACCACCGACAAATTGGGCTGACCAAAAAAGAGGTCCTCAGCTGCCACGACAGCCATGGGGCCGTAGCAGCAGCGCCTTACGTTTTGTGATGAAAGAGAGAGATGGGGAAAGTTGGAGTGGGAGGGTGGGGGGGCTGTGGGGTTTGCACAGGTGTTGGACTGAGCTGGCTTGCAGTGTGCCTTTTGTAAAGCTGTCAATAATTTATATATTTGTATATGCCAATACTTGATTGATTGTGGGTTTTATACACTTGCAAATCCTCACTTGCAGGCCCCAGATTCTACCCGGTGTGTTTGGGGCTGCATAGCTCAAGAACAGTGCTGATGGACACTGAGGACCAAGCTGAGGCTTGGGGCAGAAGAGCTGCTGTGATGCAAAACTCCACGCCCCGGAGACCGGTCTGCAGGTGCAAAGATACACCTCTTCAAAGTGCATCCCAAAACCTGCCAACTCCGTAGCTGTTGGCTTCCAAACCCATTCTTCATCCCTGTTTTTAATTATTATTCCCCAAGAAGTGCCTTCTGGATGTTGCCTTCATTAGCAGCACCCTGTTCCTTGTCATGCACTTTCAGTCTGAAGAAACATTTCCAGACAAACCTGAACACAGCATGCTCCTAATGTGCTGGTTTTCACATGATATTTGCATTGATGTGCAGTGAACACTGAGTAAGTAGAGAGTTTTCCACTCTTTTCTCCCTGTTTTCCCCACCTTGATTCTTTGTATGTCAGATTACTTTAGGTCTAGCCTTGGCAACCTCCCATCTGTATGACATTAGTGAGGTATTGATACATTGCAAAGGAGGAGAAGCATCTCACCCAGGAACCAGCTTTCATCAAGCAAATTGACTGAGAGACCACATAGCCAAGCTTTAAATGAAAAAACAATTCCCTCTTTCCTTTCTGGGTAAACTTGGAAGAAAACACTGACAGTGGTTTTTATCTCAATGACCTCAACCAGCCAAGCAAGCTGTTTCCAGGCTGATGTTCCCCAGCTGAACTCACCATCTGCAGCTCAGCTGGGATTGTGTGAGGCAACTTCCAAAACGTGCCAGGGGAACAATTAGCACTGACGCCTGCAACCTTGGAGCAGTCTGCCTATCATGAGAAGGATCTTGAGGTATATTTTCATTCCAGTTCTGTGGCTTTTCTTTCTCTCACGTGGCTACTTGGCTACCAACTGAGATCTGATGAAAAGCTCTGTCCTTGGAGCTTTATGCATTTTTCCTCTACTCTGAAATGCTGGCAAAGCAAAGGGGAGCTTGCCTCATCCTGCTTCTTCTCCAGGTGAGGAGAAAGGGAGCAAAGGCAGCACAGTGCTTTACATGTAGCCTTCATCCTGGTCATAGGAGCTCCGCCAATGGAGATATCCATCCCAAATCTGCCACTTTGTCCTGGGGATGGGAGGGTATGTTGTAGATGGTGATCCTGCACGGATCTGTCCATGACTTGTTCTTCACACCCAGCCTTGCGTCAGAGTAACCTTAAAGTTTCTGAAACAGGTTGAGGGAATCATAGAATCACAGAAAATCCTGAGTTGGAAGGGACCTATAGGGATCATCAAGTCTGACTCCTGGCCTCACACAGTATCACCCAAAAAGAAGACCATACACCTGAGAGTGTTGTTCATACACTTCTTGAACTATGGCAAGCTTGGTGCTGTGACCACTTCCCTGGGGAAGCCTTCTGCAGTTCCCAACCAACCTCTCTCGGCTTCTCTACTCGGCTCTTGTGAGGCCCCATCTGGAGTACTGTGTCCAGGTGTGGAGCCCTCAGTACAAGAAAGACATTGAGATTTTGGAAAGGGTCCAGAGGAGGGCAACTAAGATGATCAGGGGGCTGGAGCACCTCCCCTATGAGGACAGGCTGAGGGAGTTGGGCTTGTTCAGCCTGGAGAAGAGAAGGCTGCGGGGTGACCTCATTGCAGCCTATCAATACCTGAAGGGAACCTACACCCAGGAGGGGAGTAAACTGTTCAGAAGGGCTGACAATAGCAGGACTAGGGGAAATGGATCCAAGTTGAAGGAGGGAAGATTTAGGTTGGATGTTAGGGGGAAGTTCTTTACTAGGAGAGTGGTTAGGCCCTGGAACGGGCTGCCCAGGGAGGTTGTGGATGCCCCGTCCTTGGACGTGTTCAAGGCCAGGTTGGACGGGGTCCTGGGCAACCTGATCTGAATGTGTATGTTTGGTGGCCCTGCCAGGCAGGGGGGTTGGAACTACATGATCCTTGAGGTCCCTTCCAACCCGGGTGATTCTGTGATTCTGTGATTCTGTGTAACCTTTCAGCCTTTTCCTGATATCCAACCTGAACCTCCCCCAAAAGGAGGAAGTCCATGCAAAGATGATGGAGACATAAACCCAGTCCACAGCCCTCCTTGGGAGTGTTGGGAGAAGCTCAGACTTCATCTTCACACCCCCAAAGGCCTCCACAAATGGAAAGCACATTGCCCAAAGCATTTCTTTCCAGCGATGGTAGAAACCTGCTGAGCCCGTAAAAGCCAGCCACTGCAAGGGGGCTCAACCCCAGATTCAACGTCTTACTTTGGATATTTCAAACCCTCCCGCGTGCTTACACCCATCTCCTTTTTGATGGTTTGATGGCAGACCATAAGGTAGGATTTTAACCCTTTTCATCAGTGTTGGGGGCTTTGCCCCTCTGTTGAGCCTTCGAAAGGTTCGACCTGCCTTCACATTCATGAGAAACACAGTAGTTTTCTTAAAAAGGCAATGGGAATGCCTGCAGGCAGACAGAGATCTGGAAGAGAGCAGCAGCCAGGTGCAGTTTGGAAGAAAAGAGGTGGTTTTTAGTAGATGTTGCCTTTTTAAGAGAATTTTCTGCTGGCAGAAAAAAAAAGAAATGTAATTTAAAAAAAAAATTGTTTAATGTTGTAAGTCTGTACGTAGATGCAAGGTTACGGGGATCGTATACTGTTAGATTCACCGGCTTTGCACCACTGTGGTAAATTTAAAACCCAATGTGACAATCCAGTTGAAGACTGCAATATTTCCTGGTGTAATCTCACGCTAGCTGCTAGCTGAACAAGTCTTAGCAAAGGCTGGCAAATACCATCGCTGTATTAGTTTGTTTTTTTACAGAACCTCGGCAACATTGTAAGGCTTTGTGATTACTCACAATATAATAAAGTGATTTGGAGGTGAACAAATGTGGATTTATTGTCTTAGTGATGGGAGGGTGGTAATTGGTTTAAGTCCAAAGTACAATGTGATATGTTGTTGCCATTCCTCTGTAGCTTCTTCCCTTGCCCTGCTCAGCCCTACAAGAACTGAGTGTTGCATCTCCAAACTGCTGTGCTTGTCTCATTGGGCTCCTCATTAGTGCAAAGATTAAAAAGCTTCACAAGGTCCAGGTAAGCTGACTGGAAGGAAGTAATAGACGTTTGACAGTGTCCAGAATTGATGCAAGAACATCTGGTGCAAATGCTATGGGATGTGCTCCAAACTGTGATAGAGGCAGTGGGAAGGTCTTAGTGGATTTAGGGAATGGTCTGCTAGTGAGGAGCTGAGTTGGAAGGCTGGCTTTGCAGAAAGGGTGATATGGGGAGACCCACAAGCTGTCTACCCTGTCCTCCAGGACTGGCAACTATGGGGGACATATCTCCAGGAAAGGTCTGTTCTGGCTCCCAGAGCTGTTAAGAACTGTAGGGGAAGGCCAAGACTAATATATAGAGATGGTTGGACTTGACAGTCCTTGTTGGTCTCTTCCAACTCAAGATCTTCCATGATTCTATGATACCATGCCTGCTTCTTTTGTGCCCACCATGACACGATCTGTGCCCATCAGGCTCCACCACAGTTTTCCTTCTGCATCTCCTTCTGGATCATGGAATCATAGAATCATTAAAGCTGGAAAAGATCATCTCCTCCAACTGTCCACCTACCACCAATGTTGCCCACTAAGCCAAGTCCATAAGTGCCACATCTCCACAATTCTTAATACCTCCAGGGACTGTGAATCCACCACCTCCCTGGGCAGCCTGGTGCCAGTATCCAACCTCTCTTGTGGAGAAGTAGTTTTTCCTAATATCCAACCTGTTGGGATCTCTCTTGCCATGGGACAGGGCTGTGCAGTCTGTTATGCTGTCCTGGTCTGCCAGGGCAAGCACATGGTGCCCAAAGTGATGGGTCTGAATCCATCTATCAGATGGATTCTCCAAATTCCTTGTGAATGCCCCAGCAGCACTGTGTTGCACCTTGTGTACTCCTTCACCCTATTTTAGCTCCCTCTCATTTTGCTGCTATTTGAATTACTTAAATAGCCCATCTGAATTCTTCTATGTTGCAACAGGCATGAGAGCCCCACCTGCAGCATGATGCCCTGTGCTGTTCATATGTTCATCCCTCTCCACAATAGGACCCAGACAATAAAAACACAGAACTCACAGAGGAAGAAAAGGCACAGGGTGACTTCAGGGTTGGAAAATCATAGAATCATTTGAGTTGAAAGGGGAGGAAAGTTGAAATTTGAGTTGAAAGGAGAGTTAAATAGGGAGGTTAGTGACCCTGCATGTGGCAGGGGGGTTGGAGATTCATGATCCTTGAGATCCCTTCCAACTCTGGCCATTCTGTGATTCTGTGATTCTGTGAAAGGGACCCTCAAGGGCCATTTGGTCCAGCTCCGTTGCAATGAATAGGGACACCCACAGCTCCATCAGGTGCTTAGAGCCCCATCCAACATGACCTTAAGTGTCTCCAGGGACAGGACATCCACCACCTCTCTGGGCAGCCTGTTCCAATGCTTCACTGCCTTTATGGTAAAAAACTTTTTCCTTATATCCAGTATAATAAAATCCGAGGAGCCCACTTCCTGAAGCTGCCACCAGCTTGATACACAAGCAATCACAAACTAAACTCCAATTCCAGACGTCACCCAAGGCACCCAGACCAGGACAACTAGGCAGGCAAGCTCTGGCTATCTCCAGGACCAGCTCAGCTCTGTGGCCGGATGCGTTTGTCCTGGCAAGTGAGATGGATGCTTTAATTAGAGGCTGAATATTTTTAGAAGCTGGAAAACCTCAGCGGAGGCTGAGCAATGAGGATATGTTTAGGGAGGGAGAGCAGTGGCCAAGCTGGTATTTGCTCACAGGAGTATCAGTGTCTCACCCTCCTTTCCAGCATATCGAGAAGTGTATTGAGGGTCACTTCCCCTATTCCCCCTTATATCCAAGGGTCAGAGACAGCATAGGACAACACTCTTGTCTACATTTAAAAAGATGCAGCTCTTGATAGCCCAAATCACTCATCCCTTATCACTGTTCTATAGGAGCTGCTTCTCCTGGCTGTCAGCTGTCAGATCACAGAAGTCTCTTGCTGACTGATAGTGTGACTGGTTCACAGCAGCACTGGGTGCCGTCCCTTTTTAAAAATAGCTGTATATTTTCCATTTTGCAGGAGGTTTTATTTCCAGCACTTCTGCTTCACACACCCGGACTCAGTCAGGCTAGAAAGCAACAATGCACTTTTGCCAGGCCAGAAAGTAGTGCTCTGTGACTGGGGACCATCCTTCTGGAGCTAAATCCTGGGATAGTTTTGGGGCAGTGAAACCCTCTACCTTATGCACAATGCGTTGGACATGCAATGATGTTCCTCCTGCATCCCCCCCAGACATCTTCATCCTTCCCTTTTTGAGTGAACAGTGGAAGTAGGATCCTGGATAAAAGGAGGAAAACTGGGGCTGAATCTGTTCTATCAGATAAATCCTCTGCTGTAATAAGCAGGGAACAGGAGCATCCTTCCTTAATCACAGTCCTTGTCTCCAAGCAATTGTATGCCTATGTGCACACATCCACATTCCCCTCCTGCCCCATTCTCACCCTGCACTACCTCTTCCTAACAGCATTAAAATAAAAAAGGTTTAATGAAAGTGCTTCCTTCAAAATCCCTGTCAGCTGCAATGACTTT